AAGTTGAGCAGTTTAAGTATTGTTTGTACTTTTGACTGTTATTGTTGTTAAGTGCCTTTGAGTCAGTCCTGACTCACAGTGACCCTGTATAGGGTTTCCAAGGAGCAGTTGGTGGATTTGAACCACCAACCTTGCTGTTAGCAGTTCAGTGCTTATCCTACAGTGCCACACATGGTGCAGTCATATCCATTTTGACTCATAGAAACCCTGCTTAACAGAGTAAAACTGCTCCATAGGGTTTTCTAGGCTAAAATCTTTACTGGAGTACATCTCCCACAGAGCTGAAGGGTAGGTTTGAAACACCAATCTTTAGGTTAGGTAACCAGTTTGGGTCACCTAGGGACTTAACGTGGATATAAATCAGAATACAGTTTTTACTAGAACAGATTACATTTTGCTAATAATACAAATCAAATTTCAAATTTGGTATTTTCATTTTCCAGGATTATCCTCATTTTTGTGAATTAGATTAGACTCTGATATGTTTCTACCAGGCCCATAATCAATATTAAAGCTTCCTTTTCTATATGATCTGTAATGGTTCTGTTGCATTGCAAGTCATGCTATCATATTATAGCATAAGATTTACAATTCTCAACTTTTCTTAATGATGCTTTCTGCTCTTCTCGCTTCTACTCAACACAGAAAGAGCTCATTCATTGCTGTATATATAAATGGATACTTCCTTTATACTGACAAGAATACATACATCTCAAACCAAATGCCATCACCATGCTTGATTGTGAAATACTATTAGTATTCCTATAACAATCCAGCTGAAATTGTTAGGTTAAGAATAGAGAGACTAAAAACAGAAGTTAATTACCAGGTTAAAAAACAAACAAACAGTAGGTGGGGGTATCTATCACCAAAGAGTCGGGAGTAGATCATGTCCTTTGGACCCCAAGATCCCTGAATATTGAACTTCCTTGACCCAAGAACAGCAAATTATGACACCAGAGGAGTGTCAGAGAAGCAGTAATGGAACAGCAACAGTCAGAACAGCCAAACCAAGAGTCAGGACACTAGACAATGGTGAACTTACCAGACCACAGAGCAAGCAAAGCTGAGTGACTTTGAGCAGGAGACTTCCTTGCAGAGCAGGGTGCCTCCAGGCACTTAATTGGGGAGCCATATTTGCTGACCCATGGAAGTAGAGTCCGGTGCCTTCTGACTGAGGCTTATGGTGTAATAGTGTGCCCTGTGAGCATTTATCAATAGCCCTAAAAGAGCTTTGTAACTTTAGCTGGAAAGAGAGAGGCCTGCTTATGGGCATGGCTGAATGGAACAACTATGTCCTGAGCATTTTCTGATGCTGCAATGTAAACTGTTAACTTCCCAAATAGATCCCATAATTGTGAGCACTAAAAAAAAAGAAGGAATAAAAAGACTGTAATTTTGCCACATCTATAATTTCTTAAAGGAGCTCTGGTAGCATAGTGGTTACAAATCAGGTTGCGGGCCACAAGGTCAGCAGTTCGAAACTACCAGCTGTTCCGCGGGAGAAAGAAGAGGCTTTCTGCTCCTGTGAAGATTTACAGCCTCAGAAACCCTCTACAGGGTCGCTATGAGTCGGAACCAACTCCACAGCACATAACAACAACATAATTTCTTAATTACTGAGAAGGAGTCTTGATAGCATAGTGAGTTAAGCATTGTACTGCTGCTAACATCAAGGTTGGTTGTTCAAAAATACCAGTCACTCTATGAGGGAAAGATGAGGCTGTCTGCCCCAGCAAGGAGCAGCTCTACTCTCTTTTAGGGCTGCTCCATGGTAGTGGTTTGGGTTTTTGGAAGCTACTGAGAGCCAAGGGGAAGAGTCTCACCTTTCCTTGTGCTACAGAATTTGGGTATGGGGTGGGGAACTGACCAAAAAATGCTCATTACAACCCCTTATGCCAGTGGGGGAGTTGTATATTTTGTAAATACTATTCTCGATCACTCACCATCCATTAGTTTGTCATACTGTGATGGATTATAAAATGTTGTTGTTGTTGTTAGGTGCCGTCAATTCAGATCTGACTTATAGTGACCCAATACACAACAGAATGAAACACTGTCTGGTCCTGGGCCATCCTCACAATTGTTGCTATGCTTGAGCCCATTGATGCTGCCTCTGTGTCAATTCATCTTGTTGGGAGTCTTCCTCTTTTTCGCTGACAATCCACTTTGCCAAGTACGATGGTCTTCTTCAGGGATTGGTCCCTCCTAATAATATGCTCAGAGTCTGAGAGATGTAGTTGGGTCATCCCGGATTTTACTTCTTTCTACACAGATTTGTTTACTATTCTGGTAGTTCATGGTACTTCTGATTCTCTTCTTAAAAGCCATAACTTAAAAGCATCAATTCTTCTACGATCTTCTTTATTCACTGTCCAACTTTCACAGGCATATGAAGCCACTGAAAATATAACTTGGGTCAGGTGCACCTTAGTCCTCAAACTGACATCTTTGCTCTTAAACCCTTTAAAAGAGGTTGTATGCAGCAGATTTGCTTCATGCAAATACATCATTTGATTGACTGCTGCTTCCATGAGTGTTGATAGTTTATCTGAGCAAACTGAAGTCCTGGACAACTTCAATCTTTTCTCCATTTATAATGATGTTATTTAGTGGTCCAGTGGTGAGGATTTTTATTTTATTTACATTGAAGTGCCACACAAACTGAAGACTGTGGTTTTTGGTCTTCATCAGTAAGTATTTTAAGTCCTCTTTGCTTTTTGCAAGCAAGGTTGTATAATTTGCATATTTTTAATGAGTCTTCCTCCATTCCTAACGCCATGTTCTTCTTCATGTAATCCAGCTTCTCAGATTATTTGCTCAGTATATACGATTCAATAAATATGGTGAAAGAATACAGTCCTGGTACATATCTTTCCTGATTTTAAACCACTGAGTGTCTTGTTCTGTTCGATCAACTGACTTTTGGTCTATGTACAGATTCATTATGAGCCCAATTAAGTGTTCTAGAATATCAATTCTCTGCAATATTGTCCATAGCTTGTCATGATCCACACAGTTGAAAGGCCTTTACATAGTCAATAAAAGAAGTAAACATCTTTCTAGTATTGTCTGCTTTCAGCCAAGATCCATCTGATGCCAGCATTTATAGTCCTTGTTTCTTGTCCTCATCTGGAACTGGCTTTAACCTCTGGCAGTTCCCTGCCAATGTACCATTGCAGCCATTTTGTATTTATATCAGGCAAAATTTTACTTGCATGTGATATCAATGGTACTGTCCAATGATTTCTACATTCCGTTGGGTCACCTCTTTGGAATCGGCACAAATATTAATCTCTTCTAATCAGCTGAATTCCAAATATCTTGGCATAGATGAGTGTCTCCAGTGCCGCATCAGTTTTTTGAAAGATTTCAATTTATATTCCATCAATTCCCAGAGTCTTGTTCTTTGTGACAGCCTTCACTGAAACTTGGACTTCTTCCTTCACTACCACTGGTTCCTAGGAGTCAAAAACCAAGCTTTTCTTCATGTAGTTTTTGGCTTTCAGCATATGTAGTCTCTTACATTTAAAAAAAAAAAAGAATTTAAAATTGTGTGGCCCTCTATCGGTTGCCCACCTCCATTCCCACCATTAGCTTGATTTGCATTCAAGCACACCACTTCTCTCCCAAGTAGTCCACCACTCCCAAGATGTTGTTAGGTGCTGTCCAGTCAGCTCCAACTCAGTGACTCAATGCACAACAGAACAAAACACTGTCTGGTCCTGCACCATCCTCGTAATTGTTACTATTCAAGTGAGCTCACTGTTGCTACCACTATGTGGGTGCATCTCTCTGGGGTTCTTGTTTCTTTTTTTTTTTTTTTTTTTGCCGACCCTCCACTTTACCAAAGCATGATATTCTGGGGTAGGCTCTTCTATTTCCCTGGCAACAAGTATATGCTTTGACGGTGGTCATGTGATCTAATCTACTCCAATTAAGATGAATTTTGAGATGCTTGCTTGGTATTCTAAACAGAAATGCTCTTTCTTTAGAGGTGAGCCAGAAAATATATATCCATACTCACTAGCTTTGGCAAGCATTTTGCAATATACGAGGAAGACAACCCATGAAAGACGATGGTGGAGACAGAAGCCAAATCCTATTAAAACCATACAGAACACCTTTCTGTTGGCCTTAGCAGTCATATTGTCAAGTACCATTGGTTTTTACAAATAGCAAATTGGTTTTTACACATAGCCACCCTGTATTGGGTTTCTTAAGAGAGGCTGGTTTGAACTGCCCATCTTTGTGGTTATCGGTCCAGTGCTTATTCTACAGCATACCAACATGAACCAGTAAATCTGTATTTTTCCATCTAGTATGTTAACTGCAACCAGAAGTATACATACTAAGTTAATTCCTTTGTTCTCTTTGAAGTTCTTGGTAGCACAGTGGTTAAGTATTAAGCTGCTAACCAAAAGCAAAGGTTGGTGGTTCAAACCAACTGCTCTGCAGGAGAAAGACATGGCAGTCTGCTTCTGTAAAGATTACAACCTGGGAAACCATATAGGAAAGTTCTATTCTGCCCTACTGGGTCATTAAGAGTTGGAACAGACTCCATGACAATGGGTTAAATTTTGGTGTTCTGGGACAGACGAATGGCTTTATGGTGAAAGAAGCCCTCAGACAAAGAGAGAAGTCAAGGTTGCAGAGGAAAAATATTCAGTTTAATAGTTCCAATATCTACCCTGCAGCAGATATGCTTATCTATACACAGAACATGGGTACATATATAAGACAGTACAGATTTCTTTGGGGAGGAGAATCAGAGATTGGGGTGAAAGATTCACTTCTTATTGAATCACCTTCTTACTTTTAACTTTTTTAAACCATGTATACATAGTCTTTTACCAAACAGCAATAATTTGTCAAAAAGCAGCTTTCTTTCTGGAGGAGCTTATTACTATAGTTTGTATTATAACACCAATAAGGCCTATTTGGGGTATATAAAACATTTTTGATTGATGTTAAAAGTCCTGTTCTACAACTGAAAGGCCTTATTTGTCATCTTTCCCTTTTGTCTTTCGGTACACCATCTCTCGGAAACTGGCAAGAATCTTATTCTCTCTCTTTCGTCTCTCTTCTTGGTTAAAGGATGCAAGGGCTCTCTTCTCATCAGCACTGTAGATCTGGTTCTCTTTCCGAAGTCGTACTGCCTCCATTCTGCGATGCCTGCTACCACTCATAACATAACCTGAGCATTCAAACGAAGCAATCTCTTCACTTGTTAGCCCAATTTCACCTCTTCGTGGGATACGCTTCCCAGCTTTTACATACTCAGCCATAGCTGCACCTTCACCTGGAAGCAGAGCATGACCATAGTTCAACGGTTTATCATCTTGAGAAGAGTGTATTATAGGTGCTTCTGGGCCTATTAAACCCACAGTATCTGCAATCTTTGACTGTTCAATCCACATATCTTCTGGCAACTCCCCTTCTGAATCCTTATAGGTTAAATAACTGGATTCTTTATTCGTTTTCTTATTCTTCTTTCTCTTGTCTTTTTTGGCTTTGTGTTTCTTTTTCTTCTCTTTCTTCTTGGACTTTCTGGCTTTCTTTCTATCATCACCAAAGTTCGAATTTGTGTCAGAGTCTGAATTGCTATCACTATTATCAGAATACCTCCTATGTTTTCTTTTGGATGACTTTTTCTTTCTTTTTTTCTTGTTTTTTGAATGACTGGCCTTCTTCCTTTTTCCTTCTTCCTGGCTAGAATCTGAACGGCTTCTCTTCTGGGTCTTTGGTTCATCCTCAACTGGAGTGTGTTCATCAGAATCGGGCTCAGGGCATTTTGGAGATAGACCCCAGACCTCAGGCACTCCCAACTCCCCAATCCTCTCTCTTTCTTTTAGCCTCCACTGACGATGGCTCTCCTCCTTCTCCTCTTTGTAGCCTTCCACCCACTGCCGCTCACCAGTATAGTGGTGATGATGGTAGCGGTATCTGCCATAATAGAAAGAAGAGGAAGAAAGGGCGTAGTTGCAAAGCCCAGGGGGTCGTTCTCGATCTAGAGTGCCTCGGAAGGTGGAAGGAGAGCCGACCACGCACGACCAACTTTGCGGAGGCCTGAAGCCCTCATGGCCGCGGGACTGAGAGTGGGAACGCGAACCTCGAGGGGAGCATCTGGCCTGTGCGGATGGTGGGCTTCCTGACGAGCTGCGTTTCCATCTCCGAGAGCCCAGCGAGTCCTCCGGATAGTGGGATCGGGACACAGGAGCCATCAGCCGTAAATTTTCAGGTGATCAAATGGTGCAGGTGAGCGGTTACTGAGACCAAGGCGAACAAACTATTCCAACCACGCAGGCGCACTGGAACCGGCCCCTCGCGAGATTTCCGCTCTCAGCCAGTAGCCAGGCAAGGGCTAGACCTCTGCGCCTGCGCAAATAGGAGACCGGATGGGTCTAGTCTTTGGTGAACCCAGATTTAGGTTACCTGTTTTTAGGCCTTTCTTTACCCATCTGGGTCCAGTGGGAACATGAAACTTGGAAATCTCCTGATGGGTACCTCCACTGTTAAATTTCATAGGGTCGCGATGAATTGGAATTGACTGATAACAGTTTCTTTTGGATCTTGCCTTTCAATCCTTGGCTCTTCCCTTTCAAACTCTACACTCATAGCTAATTTTCTTGCTCTTTTATTGCGTTTCACAGATACTGAGTTTTTTACAAATTGAAGGTTTTGTGGTAACCCTGTGTTGAGCAAGTCTGTCATGGCCATTATTACGTGCTCGCTTCGTGGTTTAGCGTTACGTGTTGGTAATTCGAATATTTCAAAATGCTGTTGCACACTTAATAGGCTTTTGTTTTTACGTGTGTCAAGTCAGTTCGATTCATAGCAACCCTACATGGCGTTTCAGCGGCTGTCAATCTTTGCGGAGCAAAACGTCTCATCTTTTCCCCCAAGGATCCGTTGATGGGCTATAACAATGGGTCAACTGCCGGCAGTCCAGCGCTTATCCTACAGTGCTTATATGTCACACTCCCTAATAGGCTGTGTTGTTGTTTCTTGCTGTGTAGTTGGTTCTGACTCATAACGACCCCATACAGGGTTTCAGAGAAGCAGCTGGTGGATTTAAACTGCTGACCTTGCGTTTAGCAAGCAGTCCAGTGCTTATCTTACCGTGCCATATATTCCAAACATAACTTTTGTATGTATTGGGAAACAAAAAAGTCATGATTTGCTTTGTTACAATATTTGCTTTTTGCAGTGGTCTGAAATGGAACCTGCAATATTTCCCAGGTACCTAGAATCCTAGTGTGGCATTGTAGAATAAGCACTGAACTGCCAACCTCAAGGTTGGTGGTTCAAACCCAACAGCCACTCCTTGGAAACCCTATACATGACTGCTAGGAGTCGGAACTGACTCGATGGCACTTAACAATAGTAACATGTCTGTACCTGCCTGCTTTATTCTCATTTCCTGCATTCAGTTCCCATACCCTTTTCATTTCCCCCACTTAAAAGGCAGCCTTTTTACATCTGCACGTATGTGTCCACCATCAACATGGTGTAAATATAGTTATTAGTAACTTCCCAACCCTCACTTGCCTCTGCTGAAAGTAGGAACCAGTGCTTCTTTTGGAATTCAAGTTTAAGCTCACCCTCTGAGCCCAGTGTGGGATAGTGTCATATTTTTACATTCACAGACTTTTTCATCCCAGAAAAACCCAGAAAAGTAATTTAGTCATCTAGATTCCTCCCAGTTGTTGTTCACTGTCATCCAATTTGATTCCAACTAATAACAGACCTACATTTTAGAATAGAACAATACTCTGCCCAGTCCTGCGTCATCCTCACAGTCATTCCTATACTTGAACCCATTGTAGCAGCCACTAGACTAGTCGATCTCTTTGAGGTCTTCCTCTTGTTCACCAACCTTCTACTTTACCAGTCACAGTTTAGGAGAATTTAGGCTAGAAGTCCAAATTCAGAGTGCTGGCTCTTGGAAGGCCCTTGTCTCCTTTCAGCATCTGTAGGCTCCGTATTCCTTGGAGATCTCCATACATCTTGGCATCAATCTTCCACTGGATCTAGGAACTTCACAAAGCAAAGATCCCAGGTCCAAAGGATGCACTCCACTCCAGACTTATGTTTCGGTAGTAGGAGGAGGTCCCTCTGAGTGGTCCTGGTATGGCACCACAGGATAAGCACCTGAACTCAAGGTCAATTTAAACCACAAGGTAGGTGGTTCAAACTCACCAGCTGCTCCGTGGGTTGCCGTAACTTGGAACTGACTTGATGGCATTTAACAACAACAGGTCCCTCTGAGTTCAGCTCATTTCTCTCTCCTTTGATATGTCATTTTTGACAATTTCCAATTTTCCTAGATTTATACTTTGTACATTCTATTTTATAATTATTAATGGATGTTTACAGCTGTCATACCTCATCTGCAAATGAAGGTCCCAAGGGCTTTACTCCTTTCATGTCATCACAGTCAACTCTACTTTGAGGAGGAAGGTCTTTCCCAGTCATATTTTGAGTGCCTTCCAACCTCAGGGGCTCACCTTCCGGCACACTATCTGACAGTATTCTGGTGCTCTTCATCATGTTTCAATAATCAATAATCTGGTGCTGACAGGGTTCTGCTGCTATTCATAAAGTTTTCAGCGACTAAACATTCAGAAGTAACTCGTCTCTCTTTCTTCCTAATCTGTCTTCATCTGGAAGCTTATCTAAAACCTGTCCACGATGGGTAAACCTGCTCATATTTAAAATACCCATGGCATAGCTTCTAGAATCACAGCAACACACAAGCCACCACAGTATGACAAACTGACAGATGAATGGTGGGGAGTCTAGGTAGAGGTCCTCAACCCTGGACTTCAGATCTGCCCTCCTGGCCTACTACAATGACACCTCTACTCCCTCAGCTTGGGCAGCACACCATTCTACTAGTCCATCTGAGCGGTGGTTCTATACTCTTGGTCCCAGGAAGTCCATTATTCTGTCCCCCTGAGTTTTGGGCATAGACCCATCTTAATGCCAGCCCTACATTCTGGAATCTTGGTGAAGAGGCAGACTACTTGAAATTTAGGAAACTATGGCTCCACCCTTAGAAACCCCAGAGGTCATTGTTGCACCTTTTGAGACTGAGGTAGCTCTGTTTCCCATGCTCCTTTCTCTTTAGCTTGTTTCTTGGTTCCTTGCTCTCTAAAAGAGGCCAGCTGGTCCCTGTTCTGCTCAAGTGTCACAAAACTCTTCAGTCCTACTGAGAAGCACCACACTCCACCAGTAAACCTTGGCTTAAAGCCACTCAATTCTCTTGCTCCATGGGTCAGAGAACCTAACTCCTCCAACATGGGCCCAGACGCACCCCACTCAACCAGGAAGTCTCCTGCATGAAGGTGCAAGAGCTCAGCTCTCTTGCCCTGTGGGTCAGTTCCATGCCATCTTGTGTTAGCTTCCTGGTTCTCCTCCTGCAGTTTTTCTGCCACTGCTTCTCACCATCTGTGCCATCTCCAGTGTCACAGTTCTCACTTCCTTCTGAGCCCTCATCAGAATTGCCTTTGACATCCAGAATTCCACCAGTCTCTTCTAGGCAATCTAAGTTTTTACTATTAGGCAATTTAGTACTCTTTTAGTCCCTGCAAGATGGAACACAAAATGAAATCTTTCAACAATCAGATGCAGTACTGGAGGCACTCCTCATTCATCTCTGCCAAGAAATTTGGAAGACAGCTACCTGGCCAACTGATTAGAAAAGATCCATATTTGTGCCCATTTCAAAGAGAGGTGACCAAATGGAATGGAGAAATCATTGAACAATATCATTAACAATACATATGAAAAAATCATGTGTGAGCCATGTCTGACTTCACAAGGGAGAAAGAGAATCAAACTCAAAATCAGCCCAAAGCCAATTTCTGTGAAGTGAAGATCAGACATACCTCAACCCTACAACCTTCTTTACTCTAATTTGACACCAACCATCTCTCCCACAGCACTCTCTGCTTCATATCTGGGTTCAATAATCCATTGCAATGGCCACACAAAACTCATAACAATACTCACAATTATGAGGTTTATTATGGACGTGAACAGGGTACAATTCAAGATCAAAACCAAGTCACAATGCAGCAGTTTTCCTATTAGGACTGCCTCTTCTCTGCTGTACCATTGGCGCGCCTCACTTTTGTCTACGGCCTCTCAGACATGTGGCCCCTTGACCTCTGCTCTGTTCAGGCAAAGCTCTTTTAGCTTGTCTGTGAATGCCCAACGTGCATATTCTGAAAGCCAATCTCCTGCCCATAGGTACTCAGCTTTACTCAGACTATGGGCCTAAAGGCTACAGCTGCTCTTTCTCTCCATGCCACACTGTCTCTACAATTGCCGCTTATCTAGGTTGAGAGCTCACACTCCACTCCTGCTCTTCCTTCTTGATGGTCCTGGGATCGTCTTCCTGCTTCTGAGATGGCACCAGTGGGCTTGAGTGTAACAATTTTTGAGGATGGTGCTAGACTGGGCAACAAGCCTCTGTCAACCCAGCTGGATGGCAACACTAACCAATCCCAGCCATAGAGTCCTGTACACCTTATTGCACGGTCTCACTCAATCACTTGGTGGGAATTAAGAAGACATTGGATAGAAAACTCACATCAAGCAAATTCAAGGTATCACACATACAAGTAAAATTTTGCTGAAGATAATGAAAAACTTACTGCAACAGTATGTTGTTGTTGTTGTTAGGTACCATCGAGTCGGTACTGACCCATAGCGATCTTATGTACAGCAGAACGAAACACTGCCTGATCCTGGGTCAACTTCACTACTGTTGCCACGCTTGAGTCCATGATGCTGCCACTTGGCCAATCCATCTCGCTGGGGATCTTCCTCTTTTTCTCTGACCCTCCACCTTACCAAGTATGATATCCTTCTCCAGCGACCGGTCTCTCCTGACAATATGTCTGAAGTATGAGAGACGAAGTTTGGCCATCTTGGCCTCCAAGGAGCACTCTGACTGTACTTCTTCCAAAACGGATCTATTGGTTCTTTTGACAGCCCATGGAACTTTCAATATTCTCCTCCAACACCATAACTCAAAAGCATCAATTCTACGGTCTTCCTTATTCACTGTCCAGCTTTCACGTGCATGGGAAGTTATTGAAAATACCATGGCTTGTGTCAGCAATAATATATCAATTTGGAGTTGCCAGAGGTTCAAGCCAGATTCAGAAGAGGCCATGGAGCAAGGGATATCACTGCTGATGTCAAATGGATC